GGTCACTGTAAAATCAAAGAATTACTGCTTTCAGTGATTAGTAAATTAAAAAATTTATTCCGTTTTGCACTCACCTCTTTTGCATCTTAAAAAACACGGGGAAAAAAATACATGAGGTTTCAGAAGGTTTAGTAGCTCTTGATTTTGGAGCAAAAAAAAAAAAACGGGGCAAAATTAAAACTGATAGATGGATTGTCAGGATGGTCAAAGGAGAAATAGAATATATATATATGGCTGAATCATTCACTCAACCGGTATCGTCTTCGTTTTTCGTTTTTCCTTTTTTTTTTGTTTTGTTGGCTTCTTATATGTGCATTTTTATACGTTTTTTTAGACGTTTATATTGTTCAACTTTACCTATGTTGTCTGAATACGGGCTAATTTCTTTCATTCATTTTGTTCTCTTCTTTATGGCTTAATTTTTTGAAATGCTAACTGTTTAATGACGTTTGACATTTTTTCCTTCTTTTTTTTTTGTCATCTGTAATAATTGATCATCTAAACAATAACAATGGGTTGAAAATCTGTTAGCTATATACTGTTAATTTTTTTTTGCTTTCTGAACACAAGTACTGAGTAATGTTGCAAAAAACGTAAAACAAAACAAAAGAATGAACTTTTTTATCAGTTTTTTGACAACCTATTTTTGCTGTTAATTTTTTTCCTGAAATTTTGAGGTACTGTTTGACTTTATTTTTATTTTTTTTTTGTCTTGTTTTGTTTCTGTATTTTTATTTATCCATATTGTATCTTCAAAAATTGAGGAGATTATCAGGATGGAAAAGGAGAAATTATGAAAATTAAAAAATTTACTGATAAAATCTGTCTGTATTTCACTGAACATTAAACTGGCTTGAAACTGTTAGCATTTTTTGCATGATTGCATGACAAAAAAAAAACAAGAAAAACGGCAAAAAAAAAAGCCATTGTTCTTTTGGTTGTCGGTAACGCTGAAAACCAAATCGTTTGCAGAGATAATTGAAAAGGTTGCTAATAAAGCAATGGTATAGTTTACTGTTGTTTAACACAATTTTATTTGAGACGAGGAGTTTTTCCTTTTTTTTTGCATACAGTTCATGTCCAAAATTACTTTAAAATATTCGAGAGTGTAGCGATTTCTAAAAATGACATACAGTTAAGCTGAACCAACGGATACTAACCAAAAGTGATGTTAACAAAATACACTTATGTTGAAACATCTGAAAAAAAGTTTGAAAAATTTTTTTGGTGATTGATGAAAAATGTAAGGAATGATGATGAGTGTTGACGATGATAAAACGATAGTGTTGTATGACCAACAAAGGTTATGACAATTTTTCTTTCTTCTGATACAAATATTAATATTTTTTTATAGGCAAAAAAAAAAGTTTGATCGATGTTGAAGGCAGATTTGTTGTGCTGTATTGTTGTTTGTCGATTTCAAAAATGATGATTAGCTTTTTTTTTTTTTCTTCTGTATCGTAGTGTTCGGTAATTCAGATTGAATATTGCGATAAATTTTTATCAAAAAGCATTATGTGAATAAGTGATATTTTTTTACGAACAAAATTACAGAAGAATAAAAGATTTAGCAAAAGAGAGAGGGAAATGAAAAGGCGAAAATTAATTGTATCAAAACTATCAGATAAAATAGAGTGCAAAACGCTGACAAAGCACAAAAATACTTTGATATCTGCTCTTGAAATCTATTAAAGCAACAATTTCTCTTCTGCCAATGACTTTGGTAGAGGTGTGTATGTGGAAAAGCTGAAATGAAAAAAGAGAAAAAAAAAGGGCTAAAAAACTAAAAATAGCGAAAATGTGTGAACGAAAGCCCTAACTATATGATCATACAACAGTTAAATGTATCGATGCACTTTCCATCGGGAAAGAGTGGTGGTTTTTGTTCTTTCAGAAGTTTTATTTTTAGGGACATTTTGCTGCCTTTAAAAAGTAAAAAAAAAAACACTGAAAATCTGACTAAGATCTGGTCTAAAATAATTGGAAAAAAAAAGACAAACTTGAATACACTTTTTTCTCATTGCCTATTTACATTCTAAATTGAAGTGTTTCAACTTATTTCCTTGTCTGCTTCAAAAAGCAACTTGACCTGTACAGTGCTTAACGACTGTTGATGCGTGAGTTTTTGATGTGTACTTGGTTAATGTAAAAAAAAAAAA